CCCCAAAACCCCAAAACCCCAAAACCCCAGCTTGTACATTCCAAGTTGACAATCATCAAGAATTAAGTTTAATAATTGAATGGTTTCATCAATTCTTGTTTTGGGAAGTTAAAGCTAGTGAAACAGTTAGCCTAGAAGGACCTCCAGAGATGAAAGGCGCCCTACATCAGCCTGCCTACCATCCTTTCAGCCATGAAGTGGCTGCTTGCTTACAGCCAGGCCTGGCAAGAAAGCTCCCTTATTTTCAGAGAAACAAGTCTGTTTCCAGAATCAATGTTTATTCAAAAGATAATTAGGATAAATTTTGGATGGCCATCAAGATTTCTTGAAGAGATTACTCTCTAGAAAATATCAGCAGTCACCAATCCGACCATTGATTCCATCGTCTCTGAAGGATGCGATGATCCTTCAGAGCCTTCTGAAATACAGTCCATGTTGTCATAATCTCAAGGTTTCTTGACTCCCTTTTTCAGATAGCCATAAGTAATCTCCTTGCTTGAGATCTTTAAAGTAGGAGGTCACCCATATCTAAGCTGTGTGTCACTCAGTGTAAGCTTCCTTGGTGGATCCTTAACTTCGAGTTTTGTTGATCTATATGAGAACAAATTAGACATTTTCAGCTCTAAAAGCTCTATTTTAAGCACCCAGTGGGTGCTTGAAATAGCAAAGGAAGGAAAGCCAGAGCCTTTAAAGGATCCGGCCTTCTACACTTGGGCAATACAAGAAGGGTGTTTGTGCAAATCTCACAAAGAATTCACAGGATACTAAGTGAGCAGTCACGAATGTATCAATTTCACACTCAAACCCAACTTCTTAAGAAGTTGGGTTTGAATTTGGAAGATAGACTTACAAATTCGACAACTCTCCTCTTGGATCTTTCTGTCAATAAGACCCTGACAGGTCTTCAGGGCAGAAGATACAATCTCATGAAGATAAGATAGAAGACTTTGAAGCCAGCCGAAGGCTCGGCTTCAAAGTCATCTTTCTCTTCCTCGGATTGGGGGCCCGAAATTCTGAAGAAAGATTCGCTTTCTTATCTGAATTTAATAAGTTTGTCATCTTTACCGAACTCAGAGGAATTTCTTTCTCTGAAGGAACTCTCTGGCGTTCCTCTTCTGGTAATGATAGGAGTGGTTTCATCTCATAAGCCTGGCGAGGCTTCGATTTTATTTGATCTCCTTGCTTGAGTTCCTTCTCATTCTCGGTGTGCAGCAGAGCTGCACACTGATTGAGTTCAAGGGATCCATCAAAATTAAAGATTGTGCGAATCTCTCTTTTCCCAAAGTCTCACAATTTGCCTTGCAAAGGGGTAGCCTTAAGGCTATCACTTCCCTTAGTGCTCAGCGACAGCTGAGGACTTAAGAAAGTGTTGAATTCCTTTTCAAGGTTTCGCTTTTCATGGTTGACCAGCCTAGGGCTTAGAGCTTTAACTCTCTTGCTACCAAGTTTGCTGACCATCTCAGTTTCTTTATTGTTCATGTTGATTATATTTTTTCAATGCCATCTATAGATTTAGGGGTTTTGGGGTTTTGGGGTTTTGGGGTTTTGGGG